GAGGAGGAGGAGGAGGAGGAGGAGGAGGCTGGCAGTGGCTGCAGCCAGGAGGAAGAAGTGGCTGTGAGTTTTGATGTGCTCGAGGCTTGCAGCAGGAGCCGGTACCTGACCCGGCGCAGGAAGAGGCTGAACCAGGCGGGGCTGGCAGGGAACGCTCCCGCCCCGCTGCAGAAGAAGAAACCATCCCGAATTATTGTCCTGAGCGACTCCAGCGAGGAGGAGACAGGAGCCAGCAGGGAAAAGCCCCTGGGGGCAGGGCAGGGCAAGGGGCAGCTCCCCCAGGCCCTGCCCTCAGCCCCCTCTGCCCAGCTCAGGAGCGGGGCTGGGGCAGCTCCTCAGCCTGGGAGACAGCACACGGAGAGGCTGCTGGGCTTGGAAGTGTCTGGGATGCTGGATCTTCCCCCAGAGCCTCCAGGCAGGAGCAGATCCGTCCCCCCAGCTGGCTCTAGCTGCAGGAACACGGATCTGCAGGCTGCTGGTGAGGTCAGTGCGCAGGGAAAGCAGGGAGCTTCCTTGTGGGAAAGAATTCCCATGCCAGGGCTCTTCTGAGGGCTGTGAGCAGCAGGAGTCAGGGAGTCCTGGAATTATGGAATGGTTTGGGTTGGAAGGGACCTTAAAGCCCATCCCTCTGCACCCCTGGCATGGGCAGACACCTTCCATAGACCAGCTTGCTCCAGCCTGACCTTGGACTCTTCCAGGGACCATCTCCCTTTCCTTTGCTGCTCGAAGCTTTGTACTCCCAGGGTAACCTGGAGTATTTTAGGGATGAACAAATAAAAACAGGGATTAGATTTTCCCTTGGGTCTGACAGCCATGGAGGATCGTGGGTCTGTGTGGAACAGCAGCATCCACTCATCCTTTGGGTTTGTAGTTAGCAAATCCTGGTTTACTGTCTGAGTTCAGGGCTTTCAGCACCTCCCTGAGGTTGGGCTCCTGGTCTCTGTCCTTTCCAGGATCCAGGGTTTTAGTGAAAGCTGCTGCTTTTGTCATCCAGACTGTGGGATAATCAGCCCAGCTCAGTGGGGAGACTGACACAGGGATTAAAGTGCCAGTCTGAAAGTGCTGTTACTGCAAAACATCCTTTTGTTGGTTTGATGTAAAACCCCGTGATCTGTGATTGTCAGCGCTCACAGGTGTGCAGCTCTTTGAAGACCCACAGGAGCAGCTCAGACTCGGTGTGTCCTGCTGTCCCAAAGCGTTCCTCAGCCACAGCTCGGATCTCCCGTGCTCCTGGGGATCCCAGCCTGTCCCTGGCTGGGATTTCTGTTCCTGGGGATCCCAGCCCGTCCCTGGCTGGGATTTCTGTTCCTGGGGATCCCAGCCCCTCCCTGTGCATCCTGGCAGACAGCCGGGAGATCTGCTCGGGCCCGGAGGTGCTGTCGTGCCTGCGGGCCGTGCACGGGCTGCGGGTGCAGATCTGCTCCCTGGGCACCAGCGATTACATCGTCAGCAACCGCCTGGCCGTGGACAGGGTGTTCCAGTCGGAGCTGCAGAGCCCCGGGAACAGGAATAAACTCAGCCGGAGGCTGCAGTGCCTGCAGGGCATCTTCCAGAGGATCTGTGTGATTGTGGAGACAGACAGGGTCAGGCCAGGTGGGTGCTGCCAGAGTGCCCTGATGGGACCCAGGGAATGGCTGCCAGTGCCAGAGGGCAGGGATGGATGGGAGATAATTGGGAATTGGGAATTGCTGGCTGGGCTGGAACTGCCAGAGCAGCTGTGGCTGCCCCTGGATCCCTGGCAGTGCCCAAGGCCAGGCTGGACATTGGGGCTGGACATTGGGACAGTGGGAGGTGACCCTGACATGGCAGGGGGGGCACTGGGGGGGATTTGGGATCCCTCCCAACCCAAACCATTCTGGGATTCCATGTCAGGAACAAGCACAATTTTATCCATGCACAGATAATCCAAAAATCCAAACTCTGCAATGAAATGACTGCACTAGACAATAACAGGCTCTTGCTTTCCTGTACTTCCACTCCTCAGGAGAAACATCCCGGTTTTTCCAGAGGACTCAGTACTATGATGGAGTGCTCTCGGCCTTGGTCCAGGCTGGGATAAGGATCCTCTTCAGCTCCTGCCAGGAGGAAAGTGCAGCTCTGCTGAAGGACCTGGCTCTGCTGGAGCACAGGAAGGATGCTGCCATCCAGGTGCCAACCGAGCCGGAGGGGCACCGGCGGGACATCCTCAGCTTCTACCTGAGCATTCCCAACCTCAGCTACGGAGCTGCCCTCAACCTCTGCCACTCCTTCGGCTCCATCACCGCCGTGGCCAACAGGTAACGCCAGCACAGGGCCCAGCAGGGCCTCTGGGGCCCGGCCAGCAGCTCCTTCTCCTCCCCTGGAGCCAGGGAGAGCCTTCCTGCACCTTTCCTGCCGGGATCGCTGCTCAGGGAATTCCTTCCTGCACCTTTCCTGCCGGGATCGCTGCCCGGGAAGAGCCTTTCCCACCCTCTCCCAGCAGCTTTCCTGTCCCATCTCAGCTCTTTACACATTCCAGTCTCTCCCGGCTGAGCAGCCCGGGGCACTGGCACGGGCTCTGCTTCCATCCCCTCTCCTGCTGCCCCACCCTCTCTTTCCCTCTGCCATTCCCTGTTTTCACTGCTCAGGTGTGCTGCCAGCCCTCGGGCACCTGTGCAGAGCTGACCGCAGCAGCTCCCGGTGCTGCCCCATCCCGGGCAGTGTGTCCCGGGCTCCCGGTGCCATCCCGGGCTCCTCCCGTTCCGTCTCTTGCAGCTCGGTGCCGGCGCTGGCGGCGGGAGCGCGGCTGAGCCGGGCCCAGGCCGAGGAGCTCCATCGGTTCCTGCACCACGACTTTGACCCGCAGCTGCTGCCGCAGCCGCTGCCCGCCAGGGGCAAGAGCTGAGCTCGCACTCCGGGCCCTGCACTGCACTTTACCCGCTCGGGATCGGATGTAAATGATGTAAATAAACAAACACTCGGCAAACCTCGTGCTGTGGGAGCTGCCCCGGCTCTGCCCCGGCTCTGCCCCGGCTCTGCCCCGGCTCTGCCCCGTGTGTCCGCAGGGTCCCCGGGCCGGGGAGGGCGCGGCTCTGGGGGTGATCACCCCGGAATTCCTGTAAAATCCACAATAATGGCTCGAGTGCTTGGGCAAAGCTTTGGGGAAGGAGGGCGAGGGACCCGCCCGGAGCTCCTGCCGTCACCGCAGCACCGAGCCCGCGGTTCCAGGTTAAATCGGGAATTGCTCCGAGTTCCCGGGACAGGACAGGGCTCTGGGGGCCCCGTTCCCCGTTCCCCGCTGCCTCTCCCGGTGCCTCTGCCCGGGCTCAGGCGCCGGAGCCTTCCCCAGCCTCTGCTGCCATCAGCTGGAAAAGGATCGGGATGGGAATTCCTGCCCCTTCGGGCAGCAGCACTTCCCGGGAAAAGGCTGGGACAGGGAGAAAAAAACCCTGGAACAGGAGCTGTCCTGGGCAGCCGGAGCCAGCCCCACCTGCAGAGCTGCCCCAGCCCCGGAGAGCCCAGAGGAGCCACGGAGCTGCTCCAGGGCTGGAGCCAGGCTGGGAGAGCTGGGAATGCTCACCTGGAGAGGAGAAGGATCCAGGGAGAGCTGGGAATGCTCACCTGGAGAGGAGAAGGAGGCAGGGAGAGCTGGGAATGCTCACCTGGAGAGGAGAAGGATCCAGGGAGAGCTGGGAATGCTCACCTGGAGAGGAGAAGGATCCAGGGAGAGCTGGGAATGCTCACCTGGAGAGGAGAAGGATCCAGGGAGAGCTGGGAATGCTCACCTGGAGAGGAGAAGGATCCAGGGAGAGCTGGGAATGCTCACCTGGAGAGGAGAAGGATCCAGGGAGAGCTCAGAGCCCCTTGCAGGGCCTGAAGGGGCTCCAGGAGAGCTGGAGAGGGACTGGGGACAAGGGATGGAGGGACAGGACACAGGGAATGGCTCCCAGTGCCAGAGGGCAGGGATGGATGGGAGATTGGGAATTGGGAATTGCTGGCTGGGCTGGAATTGCCAGAGCAGCTGTGGCTGCCCCTGGATCCCTGGCAGTGCCCAAGGCCAGGCTGGACATTGGGGCTGGACATTGGGACAGTGGGAGCTGTCCCTGCACATCCAGGGCTGGGATGGTTGGGATTTGAGGTCCATCCAACCCAAAGCATTCCATGATTCCAAACCAAGAGGATGAAGCCTTGCAGGCACCATTCCAAGCTGGACAGCTCCTGGATTCTGCTGCCCCACAACAACTCTGAATAATCTGTGAGTAAAAAACGCTTGTCTTTGTTTATTACATTACGGAAATGTAAAAATTCAAGCCCTCTCTAGAGTAAATTAAAAAGCAATTTCAGTTCCTTCCAGACTGCACCTGAATTTATTCCACAGCCATATCCCAGAAGATATTTTAGCTTAAAATGAAACACAGCTTGGCAGTCATCGGTCTCTATGTACATTTCTCCTCCCCAGGAGAAACGGGACATGGAGAGGAGGAGCCTGGAGAAGGAAGTGCCACTTTGTACACAGGGAAAAGCCAAGCACTGCTGGCAGGGTGGGAATGGGGTTAAAACACATAAAACCACGGCAGGGCAGCTTTTCCAAACTGAACTCATCATTCCAGCATTCCCTCCAAGAGGGCCAGGGACAGCAGAACCCCCGTGCTCTGAACAAGTGCTGAACAACACATCCACCAAATCCATCACATGGAAAAGTAGGAATCCTCCTGCTCCTCACTGGATGAGTCTCGAGTCTCAGCTGTGAAGAGTTTCCCCACCACCGCGGCCGCCGTCACTCCTGCAATAAACCAGGGGTCAGCAGGGGCTGGCCCAGTGGGGAATGGCAGCAGGGAAGGCTCAGAGAGCAAAGGGCTGATGGGACACAGCTCATGCTGATGGGGAAGGGAAGGGAAGGAGCTGGAAATGAGGAGAAGGAGCCAGGAATACTCACTCTTGGTTCTGCAGGAAGCCGGCGTCTCCAGCACAGCTCCGGCCTGACGGAGGGAAGGAAGGAAAGAGGTCAGGGTCCCCATTTCCCACAATTTCCACAACTGCTATCCCTGAGACACAGGCACAAGCTGCTCCTGGGATCACAGGGTTTTGTGGAAAAGCCAAAGGAGCTGCAGAGCCTGGGAGAGCGGAGGAATCGATACCTAAATTCAGGGACTGGGACACAAGGTGACTTCTGGTCACTGCTGGGAGCTGGACTGGATGATCCCTGTGGGGCCCTTATGGGTACCCCAGGATATTCTATGGCTCTTTGGTTATTGTTCCTTTTCCCACTGCTCAGAAGAATTTAACAAGAACCTAAAGATCACAGAATTCCAAAGCTATTCCAAATCCTGACCAAAAGCAGTGGAGTTAATCCTGACAATAAAGGGCTCCCTCCTCACAAGGAACTTCTCTCCCCAGCAGCAGATACCAACCCCAGGGAGGGTTCCCGTTTTCCATGCCCTGCTCACAGGGGGCTGTGATCCCAGGACTGTCCCTGGCTCAGGTGGAAGTGGCAGAGTGCGAGGAAAGCAGCATTACCGACTTCTTCTTGACCTTGTCCCAGGTGCCTCTGCTGCCCCGAGAGTTCTTCTGCATGTGGAACATGTGCCGGTCGCAGTCTTTCCTGGGACACAGGGGAGCAGGGCTCAGCGGGGCTGCAACGCTGCCATGGCACCCTCTGGCTGCAGCCACACACCCCACACAGCTCCCACAGGGAATGAGCAGGGGGTCCTGCTTTAGGGCAAATTTGGGAGGGAACTTCCAAAGGGGTCCCTCTAGAATGCAGATTCAAGCAGCCCCTTCCCCAACTGGTTCAGGAAAAGATTTCCTTGGAGAAAAGTGGAAAACCAGGAGGAACTGCTGTTGGATAACTGAACACAGCAGCTGCCCTGGGAGCACAAGGAGGAGCTGGGCTGGGTCACGGGCTGCAAATCCCAGGGATCACACAAAGCCTCACTGCGTTCCCAGGGCCAGCCCATGTCCATCAGACTGGCTCTGATCCCCGCTGGCTCCAGTCACTCGGGCACAGCTGAAGCCCTGGGAGCTGAGCTCAGCACTGAAGGCTCTGCTGAGGCTGAAGCCCAAGCCAGGGCCACTCCCAGGGCTGGAGCAGGAGCTGCTGGTGCTGCCTCTGCTGCCCACACGGAGCTGAGCAGCTCCAGCAGCACACAGAAAGCTTTCCCCAAGCAAACCAAGGCTGCAGGAGGGGCTGGAAGGGAGCTGCTGTCCCAGCACCTTCCTCAGAGCAAAAAGGGATCTTGGGGCACTGCCAAGGCTCAAAGAGGGCTGCTGGAGGAGCTCCTACCTGTTGATGGGGGCCAGCATTCCCGGGCTGATGTGCTCACACTGCGGGGTTTTCACAGGGGAGAAGAGGCCTGAGGCGGGGGTGAGCGGGAACTCGGAAAGGGTGAAAGCCTCGGTGTCCTCGTCGTGGCTCCCTCGCAGCACTGGCAGCTGCAGAGCCACCCCAGAGCATCAGTCACCCGAGCCTGGAGTGCCTCTCCCCCTCTCAGCAGTCCCTGCATTCCTCCCTGCCCTGGATCCAACTCGCCCTGGCCCTGCTGAGGCACAGCCCCAGAGCTGGACACAGCCCCAGCCCCAGAGCTGGACACAGCCCCAGAGCTGGACACAGCCCCAGAGCTGGACACAGCCCCAGAACTGGACACAGCCCCGTACCCAGAGCTGGACATGACCCCACACCTCCACCTTGCTCCAAGTGTCTCCAGACCCTGCCCAGCACTTGGCTGAGGGGTTTTGGTGCTGCCACACCCTCAGAAAATCCATTCTGGTTACAATGGCAAGCCCCAGGCTGCCCAGCACTGCTCAGGACAGTTGCTCAGGGAGTGCTGTCACCATTCAGAGGCTCCTCCCACCCTGTCCAACCTTCTCACTGCCACCAGCCAGCAGCATGTGAAGGGAAGAAGCCTCTTCCCAGAGATTCCCAGGACTTCAGTGGTGGAACTGGAGCAGTCCCACAGGTTTACCTGGACCCTCCTGCTCTGGAAGGGCGTTGTGGTGAAGACGTCGTCGTGGTTGTCCTTGGGCAGCTGCTCCAGGAACTCCCTCATCTGCTGCTTCCTTTTGAGGGTGCCCACCTTGGCAGTGATCACTGCCTCCTTCTTATCTGCAGGATCTAAACAGGAATTGTCTGAGACAGCAGCTATGGGGTTAAAATTCACTGCCTGCCATCAGTGCCACAGCCAAGTCCCTCCTCTGGTGAAATCTCTTACAGCTTCTTTAGGATCCTGGTGAGTTCTCAGACAATTTTTGCTTTCCAGAGCAGTTTCCCCAGGCCATCCTCTGGGGAGGTCACAGCAGAGCCCCCATAGCCACTGCAGGCTCAGTGTGACAGGG